TCAGTTTTCAACAGAATGAACCAAAGTCACAATAGCTAGTAGGACTAATATAGAAATATTACAATGCCTTAATGTATTAATTGTGTGTACATGTACTTACATTGGATATTTTTATGACTATAGTTTCCATAGCACTGTGTGTGAGAAAGATTTGTCTGTGTATGTTATTTTATCAGAAATTACAAGCTTCATGATGTTAGACAGGGTTATGTTTCTCTTATTGCCATTCAGTACATATCTTTTGTAGCAGGTTTTGAAGCTGTCCTAGTGAAATGACATTATTGGCTTCAATCTGAGATTCTTTATAAAAGCATAGCTGCTTTTGTGCAACTCTGTTACTATAATGGGCATCTTAATGTGCCACAACTTGCAACACCATCTTTGCTAGTCTTTTTTACTCTTAAAATAGGGATGCAATATAATCTTTTGAATGTAAAGTGATGTACCAAGAATTGGAAAGAGAAAAAATAATTTTGTTTTTGCATGTAGGATTTATGTTTGTAATGTGACAAAATTTTGGGTTGATTGGACAAAGTATTAGTCATACTGTGTTGGGTGTTCTACCACAGTTTTTAATTTTCATTCTATGGCTTTAATATAAATATCAAACATTGCTGCCCCAAGAGTTATGACTGTTAGTTTAAAACTATAATTTAATTAATTCAAATGGATGTTAGTATAAAGTCAGGTTTACATGAGGGACAGCTACAAGGTCAAACTTTGTCAATGGATCATGTTCTAGTTCACACATTTAGCAGGTATACAAGAGGATATCATAGGTGTGGACACTGTAGTAGTGGCCAAAACCAACTAGTTTGGTATTGTTGATCTGTTAACTCTTGGATGCCAGGAGAGCATATACATACATGTCATGCTGTGTTTGATTTTAGTTCATTAATTTTGTTTACATATAGATGGCTCCACAAGTACTTAGTGTTACCAAGGAGTCAGTTACTGGGCCTACCTATTCTCACCTGTTTACCTATTTCCATTTTTTTTTTCTTTTTTTCTGAAATTAAAAAAAAATCTTCATATTAGTAATAACAGTATAATTATTGTAATGATAAGAGGTGAGATCTAGTAACTTACTCTCGATGGAGCCATCAATGTGTAAACAAAATTCATAAAACTAAACTACAGAGAACAGTGCACTTCCTCAGCACCATTGGGTTAACACTGTTTAAGAGGTGAGGAATATATATGCTCCAGCAGCTGGTGCCTGTGTAAGTTGTCCCTTGTATGGACATGGCTTTATAGGATGCTCTTTTGAATGTATAAAGAAATAGACTGCAATAAAAACTTCTTAAATAAAATAAAATGAAATAAATAGTGTTAATGATGTAGTATTTGCAAAAGCCTCGTTTGTTTGCAATTATCGTACCCCTCCAATCCCTTGCCTGTTGTTATTGTGGGGGGCTTAGGAGGCAGAGACTGGGACCCAATGATGGGGAACTCCCCAACCTTGGGACTCGGCCCTCGACTCAACTAATTTTGCACGGTCTTTTTTCCCTTCCTACTTTTTCGTTTCTGTCCCTTCACCAATTCCTTCTACTATCCACCTCCTAAGGTGTGAGAACCGTGCTTAAAGGATGAAAGGATGACTGTGCCAGTCCTGAAAGGCCTGAGGGAGACATGGGCATGGTATTCCCCTGCTTAGTTGCCTAGCCCTTACCCCTCAAGGGGACCCTGAGAGGTGGACTGTTTTTCTCCCCAACATACTCCAGGCTTACCATGGCCAATAATGAAAACATAATTCCACTATTAGGGGCAATGAAGCTTGCCCCTTCATCAAATAGCCCCAACAATTCAAATCCTCCCGATTCCCTGACCCCAGCCTCTACTTTGACCACAGTCTCGAACACTGCAACAATTACCCCCTTCTCAATTCCTACTAGTACTGTAGTCAACACTCAACCCCAAGAGACATTTCTACTCTCCCGACATGCTCAACTTCAACACCTTTACCCCCACAACCTTCTTCATCTACTACCCCATCCTCCCTTATTAATACCTTACAGTCTTATTGTCCACCTCTCCATAACACTACCTCCCTCAACACTACTCCCTCTTCAACATGCTTAAAATCTTAAAATACTCTATTTAGCCCAGCCAAATGGGACCGATTTTTCGTGATCCCTCCCATAGCTCCCTACTCTGACAACACCCTTCTCTTCCCGCAATGTCTTCAAAAACAAGTAGGCAAAGTCTCTTTCCGTAGCCGACCCGACCACTCCCGTCTCATCACAGTAACATCTGAAAACCAAGCTAAAGCTTTAGCAAATCTAACTGATCTATATGGTAATCCCATCCTTGCAGAACCCCATCCAACCCTCAATACTTGCACCAGAACTGTTTCTATCTCCTCAGCAAACTGCCCAATCTATGACAAAGATTGGTCAGATTGTGGAGAAGACTTACTTGCCTGTCTCACGGACTAAGATGCGAGATCAGTACAATGCTACTCCATTCCTCCCAGAGGTCATCGTAAGAAACCCACTAACATTGCCAAAATTACTTTCTGTAGACATGATCTTTCCTTTAATGTTTACATAGGTGGAGAATCCCTCCCTGTCCGACCATACCAACCTCCTCCTCGTCAGTGCCAAAATTGTTGGTGTTTAGGACACCCAGCCAAACATTGCCGTTCCACAGCCAGATGCCCACTATGTGCCCAACCTGGCCATACTCAATCAAACTGCTCTGCACAATCACGCACATGTGCCAACTGTGGCGGCCCCCATAATGTATTTTATAGGGGCTGCCCCACCTACAAATTTGAGTCTGAGGTAGCAACTCTCAGATTCAGACTTGGACTCACACTACGTGAAGCCAGACAGAAAGCATGTCGATGAGGTTTTTCTCTTACTCCCTACTCCATTAATATTCCTCATTCTACCACTCCCCCTACCTCCCAAGCTCCTACACCCTCTCCTAAACCTACTCTCCCTCCATCTAACTCCCCCTCTTCCACCTCCTAACTTCCCCAGTCAAATTCTCTTGCCATCCTAAATCCAGACACTCCAATCTCTTCTACAGACAGTCCAATCTCCACTACAATCCCAACACCTTCCCCTCTCCCTCCCCGCATTACCCACAACAGACAGAATAAACGTTCCACCCCCTCTTCCCCTACCACACAATCACCTCCACCTTCCCTTGCCCCTACTCTTGAGACACCAGTCTTCTCTTCCCCCCCTCACAAGAAATCCTTTATCTCACAAAACTCCCCAACCAACTCCATTGAAGAAACTCTTGAAAATATTCAAGACTACTTAATCAAAACTGACACTCGTCAACCTTCAAATTCTACAACTGCTCCCACCGCACTCCAAGTACATTTACCAAAAAAATTCTAGACCTATCCATGGAATGCATATGGACTGGAATTCAATAGTTTTTTGTAAATATTAAAAAATGGGAAAGGCATCTGTTACTTGTGGTTGGTGGTGGATGAAAGAACCTTTCAGGCATTCCTAAACCATTCTGTGAAGGGAGATGTCATTCCACAATATGTCGGTATGACCAAGCCTTTCCTATAGTTATGTACTCAGTCTGTCATGATTTGGAACTTGTTTTAGTGGTACTAATGACTGGTGGGTTGTTTTTAATACTAAAAAATATGAATGAGATATTGATGTATTTGGTACAGATCCATTATTTTGAAAGCAGGTTTGGACAGGTGAGGATTAAGTCTAGAGAGTTTTGGCAGAGGCTGTATTGTCTGTAAATTTGATATTGTTTATCCATTGTAAAACACTGTCCATATGGAAGTCACTGGACAGTCTGTGGGCACAGCTGCATTTTTCTCCATACAACAGTGTCTGGCCAGTTGAAACCTGAAATTATAAAGATGATGAATATTACTGAACATGCCAATGTCTGGTGTTTTCTCCACACACAAAGACTTTCCTGATTTGCTGTAAGACTAATTGGCAATTCTGTGACTGAGCAAAATTCTCGATTGTGTTTGTGGAAACTTCGTTCTTATGGATGTAGCCTAACCCTTTGGAGCCAGGTAAATGTGCCGCCCACTGTAGTTTTGTTTTGCAAGTGTTTTGTTTGTAAAGAGATGGTTTCGGAACTGCTGAGGCACTAAGGAGTCAATTAGTATTTATTTATTTCTGAAAAGTTTCTGCCGTGTCAACATCTATACAAAATATAGTGATAGGGTGGGTTTGGGTGCAAAGCTTCCAGGTAAGAAAGTTTTCTATTTCAGTATGGTGATTGTGGATTTCCAGAATGGTCAGTGGTCAAAAACAAATAATCAGACAACAAAGGTCAAAAGGTATGGTAAAGCATTGTGGCAAAAAAGGTAAATATGAGTAAATGATTTGTTTAAGTGGAAAAAGATGAAAAAGAGAAAGAGAAGGGAAAGAGGGAGAAGAAAAGACCCCGCAAAATTAGATGAGGTGAGGGCTGAGGTCCAAGGCAGGGGTGAACCCTACATTGGGTCTCAGTCTCTGCCTTCAAACAAAGGTGAGCAAGGAATGGGGGGGGGGGGGGGGTCCATTTGCAAATTTTCTGCCTTGTCAATTAGTGGCATATTCAAAATATATCAATAGTGTGATAGCACATCAAATATAGCAATAGTGTTAACAGGTAAGGAAGTTAAATATTTTGAATGTCTAAATCCTATTATTTGAAGCATTTTCATTTTCATACCAGATAAACCATTCTGCAACATGAATCTTGTTTCTGTCACTGATCCAAGAAATATAAATACTTTTGATTCTGTATCACAAGTAAAAGTGCTAATCTGGCCATATTAATGGAAACATTTCCAATGGGGGGAGGGGATTACTGATCCATGTATGTAGTCCTTTCCAACAAACTCAAGTCGTTAATAGAAGCTTTTGAAAATATATACGATGAAGGATGCACATCCTCCATCCCCTAAATTTCCATTCCCAGTAATTACCTGCCTGATAATTGGTGGCTAAACTGACGGTACAGGTTATTGACCGTAGTATATAAAAGTAGTTCAGTATGAAACCTTTTTGTGAAGACAGATCCTTTAACCATTCGATCAGTTAAGGTGTGGACCAAAATACTTGAATGGCAACTCAGATGTGGGGCTTGCAGGTCCATGGTCACTCAAGAGCCAGTATCAAGATTCCCTTTTCCAAAGTCTGTATTTGTTATTTATGCTGTATTTAAAGTAATTTTTCTGCTGTGGCAACATCTAAGGTCATTAGTTGTGTATTTAAAATATAGTGCTAGCGTGAGGCTTGGGGGTAAAGCCCCAAGTCAAGGAAGTGCTATATGACATCAAAAGTCATATGGCACTATGGTAAAGTATAGTAGCAAAAAGGTTTAGGAATGAGTTTATGATTAGGGCAAGGTTGAACAGTACTCGAGGGTAGTTTGGTAGTGAAAAAAGGGTAGAGAGAGGGAGCTGAGGACATATAGTACTCATATAAGGTAAAGGTGGTTAGAAGGGGAAGGAGTTTAGGGAGTAGGGAGCATTATTAGAAAGTATTGCGGTGAAAATAAGTTAATTAGGATGAATGGTATGAACAAAGGGATAGAGAAAAGGAAAAATTGAGAAGAGACCATGCAAAATTTTGAGATGAGGGCAGAGGACCAAGGTAGGTGAGACCCCTCCCCCAACAATAACCAACAAGGTATTAAAGGGGGAGGGAGTATCAAGATGGTAGTAGATGGTTTTTGTTCAGCAGATTCCATAGGAACTCCAGGTAGTTCACACATTGCACAAACAGTAATAAACTGGTTTGTAGTTACAAAAATCAATAAGGCCTCCAGGAGTAGGGTCATTTATGCGATTATAATGTCCTCCCAGATATGGGTCAGATTGTATACTTCATCCTCGCGGACTGAAATTGTGCAGGAGCTACTAACAGACCCATTCAATCTTTCTCCATCTGTCACTCTTTAATTTCCCATCGTGAGGCCGTCTTATCACTCACTTTAATACACGACATGAAATGGTCTCACAGATCAAATGGGTTAAAATTATCTGTTGCAACAACACTTAGATATACTAAACCTTGGGAATACAATTTCAGTATGAACAGGCTGACTTGTAAGGACTTCTTTGCATTAATTTTTACGTAGAATACTTTCGGTAATTAGTGCAAGAAATGAGAAGCATGTTTTTTTATTAGAAATGTTATGTATTACTTCAATAGTAGTTTTCTTCACTGTACTGTACTAAAGACCTGTCCACACAAGCAAGCATGATTGGTGGGCACATGGGCAGGCATGAGTAGAGAGGACACCATGGGCAAATTACTTGGTAAACATGTAGTTTCCTTGTTTTCTCACCTGTGATATTAACTTTACAATTACCCGCAATGTGTCCGCCAATCATGCCCACTTGTGGGGGCAGGCCTAAAGCCTTGTGCTTCAATTGGATGTGGCTCTAGCAAACAACTTCCAAGAACACAAGTACTTTGCTTGTACTGAAGTCCATTTCATACATTTAATACCTTGGCATACTTTGTAGAAGCTTTTTATATGTGAACAAACTTTATGAAAAGGAATCAATGTTTGGAAAGGTCAATTGTGGCATTTCTGGCAACTTGGAGTGGTGGGGAATATGCAATTGCAAATGAGTCATGTTTAAAGTGAATAGGGCATTCTGCTTTCTGGAAAGTCTCAAAAGTTTGATTTCTATATCACCCCTTGTAAATCCTCTTAGGTTTAATTTTCAAAACTATAGACAACAAAAGAATTAAAACTATAACCTAATACAGTGAAGAACTCAAGTATACCCCATGAAGCTTTAAAAAATGATACACTGTCTTTGTCCTCAGTGAAATGGGAAAATGGTCTTCAAAGGGCGAATGAAAAATCCAATACATTACAAGACATTTATATTGGTTCTTAAGTCACCCATGGTGTCCCTTCCTTCTAACCTTAAAACAACTGGATTTGAATAACAATTTCAAAAAATAAACTTCAGAATCATATAAAAGTGGTGTAGAAGTCACTGGACATAGACAAAAATTTGTAGACAACAGTAATTGTCAATTGATGTAATTCTAGTTATAGCTTTTATATATACACATCTTCAAAAGTAGAAGCATATTGGTACCCATTAATTGGCATATAATCTCTTGCAAATATATTAATTACAACTTTTCAAGTCACAATTTGAGACATTTGTGTAATGAAACTACTACTTCTGTACAGAAGTCTTTTCATTTTGATGTACCTAGATTATATAAATTGCATCAGCAATGCATACTTCAACAACAAAAAGTAAATAAATAAAAATACAAAATATAACTTCAAAATACTTCAACATGAACGAAATTCCTCAAATGGTACAAGAGACCACTTGATTAAAGAAAGAAAAAGATCGGCTTTTCTTAAGAACAACCTTTATATGCAACATTTATGGAATATGAGATTTTTAGAAACTCGATAGCACTTCCAATATATATATATCTTCAGCCGATTCCTTCAGTACCAGAGTTTAGGGGGTCTAAGGTCGAGGAGACACCAACCAAACTTAGAAAGCTACGACTATTACACACACCTTTGGGAAATGAAACTGATACCTCACATAAAAAAAAGGCCAAACAGCCATAGAAAATTAAGCCACGGAGGGGATTTACACTTACACAAATTGCTGGCAATGTTTAGGAGACTCCTCAGTTGATGGCAAGCATGTCTTTCCACTCCACAGACCCTTTCACTAATTCATGTATTTTGAATTAAAATATCAGTTAATCCACAAAAAGATGAAAGTAGTTTGTACAGCAACAGTGCATTTCATAAAAGAGTTACCGAGGTTCACTTGGAAAATGTAAATACAGCTTGGATGCCAGTTTTAATTTGTGTTTCCATACAATTCAGATTTAAATTAAATCCTAATATCAAAACCAGAGAAAGTCTTAACACTTATCACATTAATATAATATTTCCTTTACGGAGTAACCTAGAACTGTTGCCATTTAAGATTTTCTCTCCTTTCCTTTCCACCTCTTTATCGTTCCATGCCAAATTCATGGGCATCGTCATCAGTGATGTCACCATACTGCCAAATATTCAAGTGCTTCCTCTTGGCTTCCTCTTGGGCTGCACGGTATTCACTCACCTAGATAATGAAAGGAAATAAGGAGATACTTTAAGAATGAAAAAAGGAAACAAATACTTATGTATATTTATATGCCAAAGCAAAATCTAGTATCAATGCATGAACACTTAACCACCACCTATTTTAAAATTTCTAAAGGAAATTCACATGAATTTTAGTGTCTAAGACAGTAAATGCTTAATGAAACAAACAAATAAGCAAATAAATCTAACTCACCACAGACTGCAGCCGTTTGTCTTTCCGCTCATCAAGCATCAACAGACCTTGGGAAATGAGCGTCTTTGCTACATCTACTTTTGTGTCTGATCGTTGGATAGAAACATATTCAGCACCAGCAACACGATACTCGCGATTAATTAATACCTCGCGATCCATCACTTCATTCATGAAAGCTGCCAATGCATCTTCAAGAAAATCTTCCTGAAAGTTTTAAAAATCTACATTAGAGCTCCATTATTCTATGGAAATAGGTAGAGCATAAACATTAAGAAAATGAAAAAGGAAGAGAAAAACTACAAACTTCAGAATAACACCAAGTCTTACATCTTTGCAGAACTTCACGAGTGCCAGATGGAATTCATGAGCATAGCCTGGGGCAGAGTGGAAGCCCATGGGGAGAGCTGCACACTTGACAGACTGGGTCTCTTCTCTGTTGCCATAGTCAATATATCTAACACTGACTTTGCCGGCAGCCACCTTCTCTACCTTAGCACGATACCAAGATCCATCAATGAACTGGGCTGCACACAGCTCATCTGTTGGTAGAGAGAGAGAAAAAAAACATTGATAAAATTAAAATGTGTGTTTTCTGAAGGAGAGGGAGGCTATTCTTAGGAATGACGAATTGGTTTCCTCTGCATAGTCAGATCTAAAAGTTTTAAATATATTTGGGAAAGCCAGTGGAAACTTGTATATAAACCTTAATATTGTCGGGCAATAAAGGATTAATCGGAATGACAAACAAAGAATGGAACCATTAACAGACACATGAGGGAGCTGGTATTCACGAAGTGTCAGGACTGCCCTAAAAACAATGAATTAAGCTAGTCACAGTATTTGCCTGACTGCCTAAAGGCCATCTTTAGTAGTTTCATCTATGACTTTCACAGTTAGTGCCAAGACGGCAAGTACAGATTTTAGTAAGAATTTTGATTACTAACTGATTGCTCCACAAGTTTAGCCACCGGTCAACAATTACTATTCCTACCTACCTGACTTGTGTATCCCTTTTCCATATTTTCAGGTTTTTATTGCAATTAGTATAAAATACAAAATACTATAGTAATAATAATAATAATAAAGGGGATACCAATTGAGGTCATCCACAACACTTGGCTAAAACTAATGGTTACATTTAAACATAATGTAAACCAACATTTGTCATCATTCCTTGAGCAGTGAAGAGAAAACTGCAGTAAACAAGAAGAGTCACAATTAACCCCCTTTGATCCACATGTGATGTGATGTGATTATTCCTATTGATAAATGAGTTGAATGTAATGTTCATGAACATGCCATTTCATGCTCAGCATTATATTCATGGTGCTATGACTGGTGATGCAGGTTGTATTGCAGAAAAAAAGTTACTTTTCTATTTTCCTTGCATTGAGTTTTAGACTATCTAGAGAGATGATAAGGAGTCTATGCAAAGAAAACAGTCTATTACCATCTGCAATTCAAATGGCAAAAATGGACACTGAAAAATGGCAAAAAAGCTTAAAATGTTTGTGCGTAAAGAGGAAACTGCAAATAGGAGGCATAAGGTTTTGTCACCGCGTGTGTGTTTGAGCTGGGCACCTGGCAGAACGGCCCCTCATTTAACCCTAATGCCTGGATTTTTGGTCAAGCGATTGCTGTGATGCAACTCGATCTAAGGGGGTTAATATTCGATAATTTTCAGAAGTACCACAAAATCTAAAATTTCTATATTCCATGTCTGACAGCTTAATCAGACCCCCCCCCCCAACACACACATTCAGGGGGAGAGATAGGGAGGGGGGTGGAGATAGAGGAGGATGGGGAGAAAACCAGAACCAAATAGAATTAGGTCTTACTTCGCTTAGGGGTGTATGCACCAGCCAAGGGAGGGTTCTTGGTGAACTCTTGTCGGAGCTTCTCCATCAGCTGTTCCAATGCTGGCCCATCAGAGCAATACTGTGCAAACAGTGTGCCATCTCGGGATACCTCGGTGATCATTACAGGTTTATAATCGAGAACTCTGTCGTGCTGCAGTTCTTCAACCTTTGAAAAGGAGTTTTATATAATAATGGTATATCCAAACTGAATAAAATAATCAAGTAATTAAATCCATTCAAAACCTTTATACACCATTATATCATATGCCAAAAAATTAAACCTCTGAAATCTCACTGCCTAACACCTACCTTTTCTTCTTTCTCTTCTTCAACATAGTTGGCCCAAATGTTTGATTTCTTTTGCTTAGCAGCTGTCTGTGCAGTACTGAGAGCATGGTAGAACTTTGAGGACTCTGCTGTAACATGGACAGAGCTCAAGCCCTCTTCCACTAAGTGTACCGAGAGGTTCTTCTTGTCAACATGCAGCCAACCAATGTAGTTTCCTCCTTTGTCCATGGAATCCACCTATTTCAAACAAAATATTCATGAAGGCAGCCATACACACAAGTTATTATAGAAGATAGTATATTCATATTTACAATGACATGACAGGTTATTGGTTTGTGTTGCGTAACATTAGTTACCTCAATCTCAACTTCCCGTTGCATAATTAGGCTCTTGCTGAGGTTGAGTGCTTCTTCCCCAAAAGGTTCACCAGGGAGGGTTCCTCCTCCAGGGGCAGGTCGTGAACCTCTAGGACAGCTGATTCCGGCCAGAAGGAATGTAATCAGACAGGTTTCTCGTGGGATGAAGAGTCGGAAACGAGATCCTGATGCAACAAATTCTACCACAGCTTCAGTGCGGCCAGCACGCTGAAGGAAGGGCAGGAAACTCTTTGCCTTGCTCACGTCCTGAAGAAATAGGAGATGAAAATATAAAATCCATCTGTACTTCTCTCTGATTTAGGATTTATAATACTTTAATAACTGTAATTATACAATCTTTAATTTCTAGTATCCTGTATACAAACAAGAGAATCAATTTTGTAATTCATTTAAATTTTCTATACTCTGCATTCATTTATGTAGCATATATATTTAAACCAAAACCGTATTCACACTACAGTTATACATCAATTGCCAATCAAATCTTAGTTAATTATTTATAAGAATTATCATACACTTGTGCATTCTTTAAAACAAATCCCAAGAACAAGAAACCTATTTTACTGCTCATAAGTCAAGACTGATTTCCTCTACTTACACCTGATATGTCTGCAATTCTGTGGATTGGGGTTTCCTTCTTGTTATGTAGTCCCTTGTTGGTTTTGATAGCCTTGGCTTCTGCTGACAGCAAGTCGTCATAGCAGCTTGCACGCTGGTCATCATCTTGTCTATACCTGACCACTGTAGCAAGGCCCTTGCTTACCATTGCTTCTGCCACATTGCTAAGGAAAATGATAGAAACCACAAGATAAGACGATTACATTATGCATTTGAAAGACTTCTAAGCAAATATTGAGTGTGACAATTGTTTGCTATACATTGACCCACTGAATGCTAATACTATAGCAATATTCTAATAGTCACCTGCATAGTCAATATTCATCACTCAGCTGCAAGGATGTGGGTTTCTGAGAAGAGGTTTGACAAATATGTATAACATAAGATAAAAGGAAAAAAAAATCATAATGAAGAAAAAGAATATTTTAGTATAATCATACAAGTGAAATTAGTGAAAGTAATGCAGAAAAGATAGACTATGCTTATATGCATGTTTTGACAGAGGTTGGATCTGTAAGCTACATATCTGTAAGAGTGACAAAGGCACTGCTTGGAAGATCTTTTGAAAATTATACAAACATCTGGAAGTCAATTGAAATAATTTTGAAGGAAAGTATTACATAAATATAACAGAAGTTCCTTGATCTGTATATAAAAAAGAAGTAGGGAATTGGTCTGTATCATAATGAACGTCTAAGGCCACCCAAAAGTAAAGCTTCAAATTTAGAACAAAATCAGCTACATCTACAACTATAGTTATTAGAGAGACAAAAAGGAAAAGGTAAAGAATTATGGAAAGTTGTACATAAAAAGTATTGGGAGGTCATGCAACACAATGAAAAAGTAAAGAACTACCTTCAAATGTTTGCTGACAAAAAGGCAGAAATTCAGTATGCTTCAAGCTATTACAAATGGATCTTAGCCAATGTTGTATTCAAAAATGGATAAAAAGAAAAAATACTAGTCACCTCAAACACATCAACACATACCTTGGATGCACATTTGACATCACAGTAACTAATGAAATTCCTTTATTTATATGTTGCCATCAGAATTTCAAAAAAATATATCAAATATGGAAATCTACTCATAATAAATAAGAAATTACACAAAGCAGGCACAGATTAGCCAGCAGTATCTACTCACATATCTCCAATCTTGACTGTGCAGCAAGTCTTCTCAGGGTAGTTATTCTGCGCTGGCTGGATAAAATCAACTGTGATTTGCACCTTCTGGCCAATAAGCTTCTTGCGCAAGAATTCTCGGGTCTCAAACAGCCATGGAATGTCATAAAGAGGACGGAAGTTCTTGCCAGGAGCACGAGGACCTTCAGACTCTGGTAGCCTGCAAGATGATTTTCAGACCTTTTAAAGCATCATACCTACACTATTTTAATTCACAAACTGAGTATAAGTAACCCTTCAAGGTTTAATAATGGTACAATATTTTTTAAACAAGTACTTTCTTATTCTCCATGGATCTACAGATAATGTTTGCATACAAAATGCAAATCTTTAATCCATCAGTGATGGTATTAGAAATCTCTCGGCATCATAGACTTGTGTGATTTCTGGCAACTGTCCTGCAGTTGGGAGCAGAACTTCCCACTTGCCACGTGTATAGCTGTACCCGGCAGATCAAGTGGTTTATTAGGATGGCTATACACATGACCTGACAGTAATAGTTAAGAAGTTCTGTACCATGAACTTACCTGGGTGGTCTTATGCTTGCAAGGAAGATTTTCTTGGTGGAGCCATCCTGACGCTTAACCACCAATGCATCACCATTTACGACTTCTATGACTTTGCCAGTGAATTCCCGGTCTTTGTCAGCAATCTGTAGATTTAACTCTATTAATCTCACATGATCAGATACTGAAAAATGCTTAAAGGGACAAACTAAAGTTATCAAATTGTGAGAGCCTAATGTAATAAACATTGTATCTTACCACAATTTACAAGTCATCTCCCATTCATTCTTGTATTCTAAAAGTAAATGGCAGTATGGAAAGAAAGTGTAGGAAGAGGAAGCATAAAAGAAAAAAATAACCTTCCAATACCTTAGGTCCAGAGGGCTTATAGTCGGTCCACAGACGAAGTTTCTTTTCCTTCGCCAGCTTCTCTGCAGCACGGAGCTTCTCAGGGCCTCCAGTGACAGAGGCTATGGACCAGTCAACACATCGGGCAAATCCTTCTCGCAAGAGAGCTTCTGCAATATTTCCATTCTGGAAGAGAGAGGAAAAAAAAAAAAAAACTATTATTTCAAATTCTCTGATAATATACATTCTAAATTCTATCTCAAATAAATATACAAGTTTCATGCATGAAGTATTTACAGAGAAAGGGAGTGGGGAGGAGGGGGAATCACATTTACTTACAGGGTGAATGATGGATCCAACAAAGTTGTTGTTGTTGAAGGTCTCTAAAATAACTTGAACATCACGCTGCAAAAGTCTGGATTCGGTGTAATAGCGAGCTTCATCAGCAAATGGTTCGCTGCTGGTCTTGTCTGGTTTACCTTCAGAATCCAATTTGTTCATTGGGCACTGAAATCCCATTGAATTGTTAGGTTAAAATTTCTATATCTCCCTATGCTACTTACTTTCCCCATTGTATATATCACAATATATCCCAGCTAATAATCTAGTAAAAGGGAAATGAGGGATATTGAGAAAGGGAATCTGCTTGATGCTGTTTGAGAATTCAAACTTTAAATCTGGCATAGTTTTCAGGATACCAATCTGAAGGCATCTTTCATTCCAGAACAATTTTCCATACTGCTTGACTAACAGAGCTCACATAATTCAAGAGTGGTCTGCCTAAATGTCTACAAAATAACCAAGTATTGTATAAATCTAATAAAGTTAGCACTTCAGAAAACTTACTCTGATTCCAGAGATCATAAGCGTGATATAATTGAAGTCAGGAAGAAGCAAGCACCGCACAGTCGATCCATCACGGACATGCTCGATCACAGCATCAATTGGCTTTCCTCTTGCTTTGTCCACAAAGGAACGCATGTTGTCACACGTCCACTTGATATTCCGGACATGCTGAGCATCACCACCTGCCCACCTTCCCTGCTCAAAGAAACACATAGTCAAATCAGGTATTAATTTAATTATCATATCCAGATACAACTAGGCATTATATTGTCACCCTCCTATTCTAAAATTATAGCAAACACACAGACAGACAGACAAAGACCACTAACTTAACCTAATAGTGAAATGTAAAATCTGGTGAAAATAGGCAGAGATAAGTATATATAACTCAATAACTGGGCAGTAGTCTGGCAAACTGGGACAGACTCAATGATTGGGTCATCTGATGTCTGATATTTACCATTACAAATATAAACAGCCACAACGAATGGGTTACACTACACAAATATAAAACTGACATTGAAAGTTCCAATAATCAAACACTAATTCTATGATTTATTTATTTTTAGTTACTTTGAGAAAAAGATTTCCTTTATGCATATTATCACATTACTCCCCCAAAAAAATCCCTGCAGAGGGGGAGGTATATAATAATCATATTTTTCTTTCCTTTATTCTAATACCTTCTTCCTA